AGCAGCCTGTGCTGAGCTTTCCCTGCACAGCCAAACGTTTAGGTCTGTGTTGGGACCACATCCTGCGGGTGCTCGCGTGACCCGTTGGGTGCTCGAGGAGCCCTCTGGCAGGAAACGAGCCTGTTTGCAGCAATGATATTTCTCTGCTGCTTCCCCTTGGCCCCATCCCAGCTCCCCACCAGCTCCAGGAAGGACTGGGACTGCTGGGGTGGGGGTGATGCCCGGGGCATGACACCCCAGAAGAGTCTTGGGGCAGGACTGAGTCACCAGGCTGTGTGGCAGGAGCCTGATGGATAATTTCCCTGCCTCTGGTTCTCCTTCCTGCGAGGCATTCGGGGTGCTGGGTGCAGCTGGGGGGCTGGAGGAAGCAAAGGCTTTTTTTGGGAAAGGAGTGGCAGGCTGTGCGGAAGCTCTTCAGGGCACGTGTGGGAATTAAACCAGCTGACTGCTTTCCAGCTGAAGGCAGGAGGCTTGTGTCCTTGGTCAGGGCTTGTGCCCCTGCTCCTGGCTTTCAGGACCCTGCGGGGGAGCTCCGGCCCGGGGCACCCCCCACCCTAGGGTGTCCCCGCCCTGGGCGCTTCCTCCAAGGCAGGGTAGTGGGACCCCTCCAGCCCCTGGAATGCTCTGTCCCTGGTGTCCCCTGTGCTGAGGGTGTCCCATCCTGGGTGGGGGGAAAGGGGAGCAGGACCCCCGGTACCAGGGCTGGGGTCCAGCTGGAGCAGGGCTGCCTTGGGGGGGCTTCCATTGGTGAGGCCACCCAGCCCCTCTGGGAGAAGGGATGTGAGGAGTGAAGGCAGGATCCATCCTGGCTTTAGCCATCACCCCATGAAGTTTCAGCCTGTGCTGGGGTAGTTGTCTGAAAGGGGTGGCTTTGGGGTGTTTTCTTCTGGCAGGAGCTCTGCTCTGGGGGTAGCTGTGCTGGCTGGAGGGGGCTTTCAGTGAAGTCCATACAGTCTGGGGGGACGGCATCCTGGCAATGCCCTCCTCTTGAGCATCCCAAACACCCCAAATGCTGGGCCTGGAGCCAGGCTGCCCTTTTCCAGGAGTAAATCCTGCACTTTGGAAACAGATCCTGAAGATGTAGGGAAACACATGTATTTGAATGTGTCCTGTCTAAAAATTAGTGTGAGGAAAGGCAGTTTCCTCCAAAAGTTTTGGTTTTGATGATTTTTTAAAATGCTGTGAAATAATGGACATTTCTAAATCAACACACATTCTGACCTGAAAAATCAACACAGCACTGCTGAAATAGGAGTGTCTCAACCTGGTCACAAGGCCGTGCCCGTATGGAAACACTGCCAGGTTTTGCCAACAAGTTTCTATTCTGACATTTTCCAAATATCCCCTGGGACAAGTCCAAGCAGCCTGAGGCTCAGGGGGTTGTCAGGACACTGGTGTTTCGCCATCGCCCCGGTACTGCCTGCCCAGCCAGCAAGGGAGCAGAGGTGTGTGGTCACCCCATCACGTGCAACGTGAAGGTGTTTTTTCTGCCTTGGTAACCCTGAGACCAGGGAAATTGTGAAACATCATTTGGATAGGAGGGTGGGGAAGGTGAGGGGCAGGCCCATGGCTGCCCCAAGTCTGCCAGCGAATGGTGGGACCAGTTTCCTTTGTCCTTGTGGGTAGGTGCTCCTTAAGCTTCATGACGTTTTGTGAGTCACAGCAGCTTCCTGGCTCCATCTCCCACCGCTCAGAAACCACCGACAGCGTCTGTTCTTATCTCTCCTAGGACTTCATACATGAGGCAAGTCTCCTTCCCTGCCTGAGAGTACTTATTTGGGCTGAGTAGATCCTCTGTGGGATAAAAAAGCTCATCAGCACAAGGTGCTGGTCTCCACCTCTCCAGGGTTAATTTAAAATCCTGGTCCAGACTTTAGAGACTGAAGGCATACAGGGGCAAGCACAAAAGCACATGCATATTTCCAGGCTGAATTTGCATTGCTGAGGCTGTGGCTGTGAGCAGAAGCAACTGTGCAGGCAGCTGACAATGAGCCTGTCCAGCTGCCATCACATCTTGCTGGTGCACAAGATCCAGCAGTTTGCACGTGTGCTTGTGGTAATTTCTGGTTTCAACTATGGGGCTCTGAAGGGGTTCCCCTGTGCCATGAAGTGGGGCTCTGAGTAGGGTTTCTTTTGCTAATGGTGGAGAAATACCAGAAGGTTTGGTCACATCTCAGGCTGAGGCATCAAGCCAGCAAGGCAGAGCTGGGGCTTGGGGATGGGCAGCAAGACTGGCTCCTGCACCCCGCTCCCCAGCCCTGCATCCCGCGATGCCGCTGTGGGCTCTGCCATGGCAGCGACAACCCTGCACTGCTATAAATCACTAACTTCCGGAGAAGGGGCCACACCAGATCACATTACATCCTTCCTTCAGCCTAAAGGCGCATCTGTGAGGTTGTCTGCTGGAGGCCCTGCCTGTACTGCCTCAAAGCTCTCTTCTTTTATCTCAATTTTAGCAATTTCTCAGTTTCTGCAACCTTTCCTGTGCAGGCTGCACGAGACGTGTCCCTGCTGGAGAAATCTCCCATCTCAGCCCTGCTTCATCTTCCGCTGCCCCAGTACACTGACAACTTGCTCCCTTTGCAGGGCAGAAACTTAAACAGCCAGAAACTATTCTGCTGGTTTTGAGCAAAGCAGGGGCTTTCCATGGTGGTGTAGGGGTGGGATTCATCACTGCAGCAACTCATCCCCCTCTCCCTAACCAGAGGACCCTGGGGACCCGGGCAGCACGCGGGGCTGGGGCTGATGGAGCCTGCTCACAGAGGGCTGGGGGCAACGGGGACTGTGGCAGCGAGGGGATTTCTGCCCCTGCAAAGACAGCAAAGTGAAGGCAGTGTGGGGCAGACCCACCTGGGGCAGCTCCGGCTTGTTTTGAAGTTTGCCTGGATGTCTTTTTCGGTGTTATCGTGATCTCTCCCCAGGAACGACAGCGGCTGGAGAAGTCTCGAGGGTTTTGCCTGGAAAAGCGAACCCAGGAGGGTTTATCTCATGCTCAGCTGAATTGCCGTAAATGGGATAACAGCTGGCTGAATGTCGAGTTAATTTGTACCGATGGTCATTTAAAGTGTTTGCAAAAGCTTATGGATAAGAGAAGTATTTATGCAAGCTGTTGAAGTGTCTCAGCTCTCTCTCCAGTTCCAGCTGGTAAGGACTGGGCAGGACAGGGTGGGTACAAGGCGAGGTCGGCGCCAGAGTGTGGGATTTCCACCTGGGACCTGGCCCTGCACGGTCTGTGTGCAGGGTGGTCCTGTGAGCACAGATGGGGTCATTAATTACTTTTTGTTTCATCTACAGAAACCCATTCTGGGGAAAAAAAAAAAAATAAATTTCCTGGAAGGTTTTTTGGGCAGTGAGCGGGCCCATGGCGATGCCCAGTGGGTCCTGGTGGAGAGGACAGCACAGGCAGTGGAGAGAGGGTGGTCTCTGGTTGTATCCTCAGCCCAGGCAACATTTGCAATCTGTCTGCATTTTGTAAATGAGATCTAAGGAAGTTATTAACGCTGTCACACGTTTGTGCTGGCTGCTCTGCTTCAATGCAAATCGAAGGTGTTCAGCCCTACCTGCTGAGAACTCGTGACTTGGGCTTTGCATGGGTGTGATAACTCAGAAAACTGTTTGAACAACAGAGAATCTTGCATGTGTTGGCTCCCAAAAAAAGGTAACAAATTCATTTGGTGGGGATCTAGGTCATGCATGGTGCTGTCTTGAGATACAGCAGTGATTTCAAGTCATTTCTGACCCTGCCTGTGTTTTTCCAAGCAAAAATGTATGGGTTAACTTGTCCTTACTGTCCTTTATTCTCTTTTTTTCCCCACAGCAAAATGGAGGGGGGAAAGATGGGAATGGGGGAGTGAAACTTTCCCCCACAGTGGATTTGAGAAGCAGGAAAGCACATGGTGCCAGGGGCTTGAGGAGATGGGCTCTGGCCATGCCCGTGCCTCTCCCCACACATCCCTGTTCCCACCTCTGTCCCCTGCCTGCTCCGGGGCCTCAAAGTGAAAACTAATCCTGAGGGATAACTTTCTGCTCTGCTCCTGAGTGGGAGGAACAGGGCTATTTATTCCTCACCCTTAAGCCTCCGCAGCGGATCAGCGACACAGTTGTCACTGCCGGCGCAGGGTGGGCAGCAGCATCCGTCAGGGCCTCTGCCTGCTCCCGCGCCCTGCCCGCACGCTCCTGGCCAGCCTTGCTGCTAAATAAGGACGAAAGGCTAAAAATAGAGCTGAGGCTGGAGTTTGGCTAAGCCAGGCAAACCTTCCCAGTGTCAGGAGTGATACAGGGAGGCCAGGCAGAGGCAGCGTGTGAGGGGGAACTGAGCTGCCTACAGGGAAGGGTCCTACAAGTGGGTCCTAACTGTGCTGGGGCAGGGGGGAAGGTCTGACCCCTGCCACTCCCGTGTCCTGTGTGCTCAGTTGGCTCAGCCCCTTCCAGCTTTCCGCAGGGAAGAAACATCTGTTCATCAAAATATATGGGAAAACCCACTGTGAGGCCATTCCAGCACGATGGGGGGGCTCTGGCTGGAAAATGGGCACCTGAAGGGGGAAGTGTGGGTGGTGGGGTGCTGTGGCAAACAGCCCAGTTGGGGGCTGCCCGACACCCGAGTGCCCCCACCCCCTCGCAGCACACACAGCATCGGGTTCAGGGTCTCAAATTATCTCTGTTCTCCAGCTGCCGCCTGCCCTGCGCCGAGCGCCGGGGGGGCTCCCGGGGTTCCCGGGTGCTGGCCCGGCGAGGGTGCAGCCCCTTTGCATGTCCGCAGACACCTCAGCCACCTAAAGGGGGTGTAGGAAGAGATATACCCCTGGGGGTTGGGGGGAGGCGGTGGGGAGATGGTCTGGTCTCACCCACAGAAAGTGGGGGGGTGAGGTGGCCTGGCCTGACGTGGTGGGGGTGTGAACCCCGGCTTCCCCCCTACCCCCGCGGGCAGCGGGCAAGGCTCTGGGTGCCTGGGAAAGCGCAGCTTCCCGTCCCAGCATCCCCGCGACTCCAGTCCTGCGCTTGGCAACAAAACCGGGGGGGCGGGAAAAAGGAAAAAAAAAAAAAAAAAAA